GAAAATTTTACATTTATACATTAGGAGCAAAAATACCTTGCATATTACACTTTCTTACATTATGTCCTCCTGATATACAAAGAAAATTTTTGTAACAGCTCTTGGGTTTGGAAAAAGACGTCCTTCTGGTAACCAAACACAACTTTTCTATTGGCTACTCAACGCATTGGTAGCAGAAACACCTCCTAGCACAGTATATTCTCCCAATACAACAGTTACAGATTAAGAGACATATCTTCTGCATTCGGAAAATACCTCCTTGTCTAGAACTCTAAAATCTCTGTGTGTATTAGGAGCACAACCAACTCCCACCTGTGATATTCTCCTTATACATGTGAAATACATGTTAAAATAAAGTGCATGTTTCTTGCCCAACATTCTGACCGATCACCTCTTTGCCTATTATGTTCTCATAATATAATTTACGCGTGCAAAGATACACAGAGCAAGACCAAGTAAAACATGGAACGAAACAATCATTGCAGATGGAACGGACATCAAGGAGTCAAGGACACTACCACTTACATTTGCTTCTTAGTGATCTGACTGAGCAAGTCGAGGATTTGCGGCTGAAACTCTTCGAAGGTGATGTCGAGAAGTTGCTCGTGTCGCATACGGTCGAACGCCGACCAGTCTATCACGGCGGTGTAGTTGAAGGAGTAGTCGGAGGCGTCGCGCACCTTTACCTTCTGTAACGATACGTTGATTAAAACAAGGTAGTCGAAGTGACGGGCATACAATGGCGTTTGCCAGTTGCGAAATTATGAAGGAGACAGTCTTCTGTGTGGAGGACTTCGACCCGTAAAAGACGTCGACCAAATGCGAATTGTTGTAGACGACGTTGTTGCGGTCATTTTCCAGTCTGTAGTTTGTTGAACAGCTACTTCCTAGGTCCGACAAACTCATTTAAACACGGAAAGTTAGGAGAATAGGGCGATATGAGTAACACAACGATTGTAAATAAACAAATTTAAGATTCCTAACCTAACTTTACGAATATATACAGAGTGAGTCTAAAGGCGTGTGCAAGGGCGAACCTTGAGGGCTGACGACTTTAATCATGGTTCATGCAGGCAGTACAAAATGTAGTAAGTGTGGACGTATTTTTTAAACCTTCAGCTAAAATAATTACACGTGTTGCATTTTGATCAGAGAGAGCCACTGTATGAATTTTGCACCCTGAGTAGGAATAATAGCTTCCCCACAGCCAAAATTCATAAATGGTTGTTTGTCAACTTATAACCTCACTTTTTCAAATTGTTAATGCAACAAAAACGCCCAATGTAATAAACTAACGCAGAAAAATGGGTGAACCGCCGAAGATAAAGAAACTCGAGGAGGCCGTTATAAATCGTATTGCAGCCGGCGAGGTGATTCAGCGACCGGTGAATGCGATCAAGGAAATGATCGAAAACAGGTACCCTTCGTACTAACTTACTTTTGATATTAAACCATCCATCTTTTGTAGCATCGACGCGAAATCGACCAACATTCAAGTGACTGTCAAACAAGGCGGACTGAAATATATTCAGGTAAACTCTCGCTCTGTTCGGGTATTGTAATGTGTAGTTCACAATTTTATTATTACGGTCCCAAGTACGGTACGGTAGTGCTTGGCATACTAGATCTAATACGATTTCCTAGTGATGTAACTTATCAATTGAGGATAAGCATCTTGTTATAAGGATTATGTCACACTAGCCATAGACCTTTTTGAATAACTGGTCTCATTTTTGTATAGTATGTGCACTACACGTTTTGGGAAGGAATGAAAAACCGGGGGGTCTGGGAGGGTATGCAAACGATTCAAAGTTCACTTCCCTATAACTATTATTAGCTCTGCCTATTGGGGGGGGTATTTCAGACCCCCCGGTGCTATGGTCTTCCTCATCACATTCAACTCTAAGGTCTGTTTTTCATAGGGGGCTATAGAATTGTCCCCTCCTGAGGAGTATTCCATACTTCACGAGCTCCTGGGAAGGAATGTAGAACCCTCCAGCAAAGAACGATTTAATGTTTACTTCTCTATAACTATTATTAGCTCTACGTATACCGGCGGGGGGGGGGGGATGGGGGGGATGGAATGCCCCCAGCATAGAACTATTCAATGTTTACTTCTCTATAACTATTGTTAGCTCTACGTATACTGACCGTCGACTAGGGGGTATGGAATGCGTATACTGGGGGGTATTTCACACCCCCCCGACCCCCCTGTGTAATGTTCTTCCTCATAACATTCAACCCTGAGTACTGTTGTGGTACTATAGGGGGCTATACAATTTTCCCTTTCTGAGCATAATTTGAGAGCTCCTGGGAAGGAATATAGAAACCGGAGGGGTATGGAATACCTCCCATCAAAGAACAATTCAATGTTCACTTTCCTATCTATCAGCTCTGCGTATACTGGGGGGGTATTCCATACCTTTTTCATTGAACGCAATTGAGTCTTCAAGGTGCACGGCCAACTGGAATTTTTATGCATATTGAATGAAAGAAAAATACAACGATCATCTACTGTACCATTGGAGGATGTACAATTTGGCGCCCAACGTGGGGCCAGTGTTGGTAGCGCGACATTATTTCGCGTCTCTTTTACAGATACAAGATAACGGGTCGGGTATCAGAAGAGAGGATTTCGAAATCGTCTGCGAACGGTTCACCACGTCGAAACTGCGCGAGTTCGAAGACCTGAGCACGATCGCCACTTACGGATTTCGCGGCGAAGCACTGGCGAGCATCAGTCACATTGCGCACCTAACGATACAATCGAAGACCGGAAACGAGAAGTGCGCGTACCGGTACGGTCACGTGCGCGGTTTCCGGCGGACGCTCATGGTAAAATTTCAGGGCCGCTTTCGTCGACGGCAAACTCCAGGAGAGTCCGAAAGCCGTCGCAGGTGTTCAGGGGACGCAGATCGTCGTCGAGGACCTGTTCTACAACATGAACGTTCGAAGGGCCGCGATGAAGAACGGCGCCGAGGAGTATCAGCGAATTATCGACGTCGTCGGCAAGTACGCCGTCCACAACTCGTCGATCGGTTTCGGTCTGAAAAAGTTCAACGAGAACAACGACATTCGCACGCCTCCGAATTCGAACGCGATCGACAATATACGAACGATTTACGGAAACTTAATCGCGCGCGAACTGATCAATTTTAACGTCGAAAACGACGAACTGAAATTCAAAGCGCACGGATACATGACGAACGTGAACTACTCGACCAAAAAGTTCACATTTCTGCTCTTCATCAACAACAGATTGGTCGACTGCACGGGCTTAAAAAAATGCATCGATCAGGTCTACACGACTTACCTTCCGAAACACATGCACCCCTTCGTTTACTTGAGCCTCGAGCTGGACCCGCGCACCATCGACGTTAACGTCCACCCCACCAAGCACGAGGTTCACTTTCTGAGCGAGGACCAGATCATCGAATCGCTCACGTCCGCCATCGAAACGAAGCTTCTCGGTTCGAACAATTCGCGCGTGTTCTTCGTGCAAACTAAGCTTCCGGGGGCGGTTTCCGATACGAAAGAAACGGGCCAGATCAGAACGTACGACAAGGACTTGGTGCGAACGGATGCAGCCGAACAGAAACTGGATAAGTTTTTCGTCCCTTCCGATTTAAACCGAAGCGAAAACTACGAAACCGCCTTCAAGCGGGACAACGAACACTTCTTGGAGAAGGCCACAGATTTCGAAAACGCGTTAAACCGAAGCATTTGTCTGCGCTCCTCGCTCACTAAAATACAAAATGAATGCAAATTGACGAGCGTCTTGCAGCTACGACACGAAATCGAGTCGCAGTGTCACAAGACGCTAAGGGAGTTGTTCGCGCAGCACGTCTTCGTCGGGTGCGTCAACGCGAAACACTCGCTCGTGCAGCACGGCACCAAGTTATACCTATGCGACACGACTCGCATAATGGAGGAGGTGTTTTACGAGTTGGTCATGTATAACTTCCAAAATTTCGGCACGATCAACCTTTCCGACCCGTTGCCGCTCAAGGAGCTTGCGCGTTTAGCGCTCGACCTAGCCGAAACCGGTTGGACGGAGGAGGACGGGAATAAAGACGAGCTCGCGGAGAAGGTCCAAGAGATCCTGACCGAAAAAGGCGACATGCTGAAGGCGTACTTTTCGATCGACATCGACGAGTTCGGCTACCTGAAGAGTCTACCGTTACTGCTAGGTGATTAGCCCGAGTGCGTTCGCCGCTAACCTTTTTTTTTTGTAGACAATCATCTGCCGGAAATGGGATGTTTGCCGATGTATATCCTACGATTGGCGACGGAAGTCGACTGGGAGCACGAGAAGAAATGTTTCAGGCAGTTCGCGAGGGAGACGGGCATGTACTATGCCAAGATGTACGAGTCTGACGCGCAGAGTTGGAAATGGGTGGTTGAGCATGTTTTTTATACGGCCATCAAGGACTTTTTTCTTCCGCCGAAAACGTTTACCGAGAACGCCGCCGTGTTGCAGATCGCCGACTTACCGCATTTGTACAAGGTATTTGAACGTTGTTAGATTTTATTTTTATATTTTTGCAATAAAGGAAAGTAAAACTTATACCATTCCTCATAATCCCGCATGGTCTCGATTGGTTTACAAAATGTTAAATAATTAAAATGAAAGGGAGCAGGAGAGAAAAAGAGGGATATCATACTGCAACCTACTATTCTCTTAAAAAATGACAAATTATGCATTTCAACATGTCTACGCTAACTTCACATTACAAGAACACGGAAATAAAGTTAACCCGGCAACGTTTAAAAATGGCCATCCGAATGACTATTCCCTCTAAAACTAAACAAGAACCCGCTTTAATTTGAAAAGTGGCACGTGATCAAACAAGTTTTAGACAACGCTTTGACCTGAAGCACAGTAGGAAAGGAACGTAAAATACAACACTCAAACTGTGAAAAGTTAGTTTAATATTGATCGCAATTATTATTGATTGTAAAATCTCGGGAATTTAAGTCAAAATAAATTACATTGCAATTGATTATAAAGAAATTACCATTGAAATCCCTATGCTGTTGCGCTAGGCATCACCCTGTACATATAGCAACTAACCGTACGCCACTGGAGAATTAACAGCTAACTTCATAATAAACAAATGATCCTTTGACATAACCTCAAATATTTTTAACAAGAAATGACGTTTTATTAGCAACAAATTACATCGTTCCAGATTTAAGCCTCTTTACTAAACAGTGATTGACACGCGAGACTAAATGAAGGCGCTTCCTCAAAGAGTCTATCTCTTCCCAACGGGCATCGTCACTCTCACATACGAAACTCGAATCCTGATACACCTCGCACTCGAAAGACTTATAAGCGTTGCCTTCCAACGTACGCTGCAGTTCTTTCACTATGTACCTCGGCTGATAGTGAGGATCGAACGTGTTCGTATTCAGGAGAAATTTAACGTTGGTGATCGGCGTCTTCAACTCGAGCCTGTTCAAAATCTGCTTGCTCTCAATGTTCCAGACGATCACGCACGAATCGTCGGAGCCCGACACGAGCAGCTCGTTCGTTCTGTTCAGGTCCACGCAGTTGATGCGACCGCTGTGACCGGCGAAACGCAGATGAGCGGCGGGAGCGGTGAAGTGCACCAATCCGCTCGTCGAGCCCGAAACGGAGAACTGAACGATGTCGCCGGCCGCGTGGCCGAAGTAGACGTTCCAGAAGACGGCGTCGACGGTCGTTGAGGTTATCGGCTCGTCGCAGACGATGTGCAGGCGCGGTTGGCCGGTGCGGAGGTCGTAAATAAAGCAGCTGTTGTCGAGGGAGGACGTTACAAATCGTGGGTTTACGTTGACGAGCTCGACTTGAATGTCCGTTACGGCGTTGGTGTGGTGGAGGAGGTTGTGCAACGGTTTCACTTTGCCAAGCTCCTTTTGGGCATAGTGCACGTCCTCGACGGAGATGAGGTGGACGAAGTTGTAGACGAGCACACATCCGTTGGCCGCGCCGACTAGTACGTGGGTCGAGTTCAGCGAAATTGCGATGCACGTGATCGGGCAGAGGTGGATTTCCTGGGCGGTCAGTAGAGTTCCCGACGATATTTGCCAGATGTACAGAGTTCGGTTGATACCCGCCACCAGGTAGTGACCATCCGGTGTCACTTTGTAAACGTTGGCCGGACCCGGCAAGACGAACCTCGGGTTTTTGATCTCGTCCGGGCTGTTTATTGGCCAAATGTGTAACAGGGGTTTGCCGTGGTGGGCTGTCGTTACGAGCCGATTATTAATTAGGTTTAGGGAGTTGGGTACGATTTCTCCATTGTTTTTGTAGGTGTGTATGCTGTTCATGGATCCCGATCCTTGGGAGCTCCATACTTGCAATGACGTCTTGCAAGAGGTTATAAGAACTTCCTCTGCATGGGACATTTCTAAAAAGTAAAAACTGACACTAGGACAGGTTTGAGGTTAGACTTTTTTGTTTACACGCGCTGCCACCACGTGCTGGAGGTGGTTCATGTGATGGCTACTACCAGTATGCGTATAACCATAGTACAATAAGCGTATAACCAAATAAAAAAAGTAGCAGTGCTGTCTGACATTTTTGGGAAAGAAAATTCAAAGGGCTCTAACTTTTGAACTAGTAGCCCAATCTTGGAACTGTTTGAAATTATGGATTCTACAGGCCACATTCTATAAGAAAATTTTTTTCCGGGTCGATCTGAGAATTTTTTTTGAGGGCCTCAAAAAAAGGCAGTGTATAACCTTCCTTTTTTATCAAAAATCGACTGCACCAAAATCTCTCGGGAAAACACTTTTTCTTATTAATTTTGGTGTGTAGAATCCAAAACAATTCGTACTTTTTCGATCAGACTTCTCAATCAAAAGTTATAGACTAGAAACCAATTTCGAAAAAAAATTCAAAGGGCTGTAACTTTTGAACTAGTAGCCCAATCTTGGAACTGTTTGAAATTACGGATTCTACAAGCCACATTCTATAAGAAAATGTTTTTTCCGGGTCGATCTGAGACAATTTTTTTTTCGAGCCTCAAAAGAATGCAGTGTATAACTTTTGATTGAGAGGTCTGATCGAAAAAGTACGAATCGTTTTGGATTCTACGCACTAAAATTAGTGAGAAAAAGTGTTTTCCCGAGAAATTTTGGAGCCGTCGATTTTTGGTAAAAAAGGAAGGTAATACACTGCCTTTTTTGGAGGCCGGAAAAAAAATTGTCTGAGATATACCGGAAAAAAAATTTCCTTATAGAGTTTGGCCCGTAGAATCCATAATTTCAAACAGTTCCAAGATTGGACTACTAGATCAAAAGTTACAGCCCTTTGAACTATATATATCAGCTCACCCCATTATCTACACGAAAATTCAAACGTTATGGTTCCGAATGTAAATGTCGGCATACATTATACAAGGTGTAAATATCGAAGTAATCCAATTACATTATTTATGTGCAATTGACGCTATGAATAATTATTAAACGTTAATTTATGGGAAACGAATAACTAATGGACAAGTATCGATTACTTGCACAAACCTTTTTTATGTTTTAGGTGAATATTTAACTTTGACGACCTATGGCATGGATGCATAACTTGACCCCCTTTCAAGTTTTCCTTACTCCTCATAATTCCCCTCTTAATTCTTCATGCTATTATTGCATTTCCGTTTCCCTTTTTTCCCCTTTTTTCCTTGGTCAATATCCACTCTCTTTATAGTTACACAGTTTCGTAACCTCTCTTTTTCCCTACTTTTTTTTCTAGTTTTGCCATTGCTCTTCTCTGTATATCACTAACTCTTAGTGTGGAGGTCACTAATTCTTGGATTCCACAGACTAAATCCACTAGGAAATATTCCCTTCGTGGGAAAATTGCGTGACCTCGGGGGGCAAACTCACCGTTACAACAAAATGTGTGGAAAGTAGAGAAGAAGAGTTTTTGTTAGCAGGGTCCCACCCCTGAGACTTGTAACTTGTCCCTCGTGCGGGATATTCAAGCCTATAGTTGGGAAATTCGATAACTTCCACATATTTAAATCAATCAATTTCTAATGTCATCCAAAATCAGTGACCACATTTTTGTGTTACATTCCATTTTCAAGGTCACCAGAGATCAACGGTCAACATTTACTTTTAAGGTCGTCCAAGGTCAATGATCCCATTCGATCGTTAAATAAACTGTACAGTATTAGGATAGAAAGCGTCTGCGTACCCAGTCAGTCGTCGCCTTTCTTTTGAAATTGAAATTTTACCTAGGAAAAAAAGAGGACCTACAAAATAGAATATGACAGAAAATACAACATGACACCATAACACACACAAAAATGAGGTAATATTGAGCCTTGAAAATAAAATATGACCGCAAAAAATGGATGACATTACAAAAATGGGATCATTGACCTTTAATGTCCTTGAAAGTGAATGTTCTTGATCTTCAACTTGGCATTCAAGGTCACATTCACGTGGCACGCGATTTTTGAACATCACCTTGACCTACCTACTTGCCAAAGTCACCGGCAGGGTACGAGCGACTTTGAACGGTCCAGGTTCGGCCTTTATATGGAGTCCGTTAACTTGGCCCCCCACTGAGAGTTTTCATAGTCGTATTATTTTGAAATGAATGCGCTCGTTATGCGCTCATATGCGCCACCGATAATAACTCTTGCGCCATTATCGTTTTTTAGAAATCCGTAAAAACATTGGGGGGGGGGGGGCAAGTGAACGTAGCCCCCGCCCCCAGTACGTATTTTGTCCCTTGTAACTAGGTCACCTGATACATTTGGTTATGCGCTCAATTGCGGCACTGGAATTAAAGCTAGCGCCATTACGGTTAAGCCGTGACAAATTTTCAAAAGGTGGGGGGGGGGCCAACTTAACGTTTTTAAAAGTTACTTTTTTTTTACATCTTTTCATACGAAATTGTACTCTCAGGTATGCGCTGAAATGCGCCGTAAAAAGATATCTTTGCGCCATTATTGTTTTTTGGATATCCTAAAATAAATTTGGGGGGTGGGGGGGCCAAGTGAACGGAATCCCCCATAACGCATTTTGCTACCGGTATTTGTGCCACTTGATACATCTGGTTATGAGCTCAACTGCGCCACTTGAATTAAAGCTAGCGCCATTACGGTTAAGCCATAAAAAATTTTTAAAAAGTGGAGGGTCTGACTTATCGTTTTCAAAAGTTATTTGCGGAAGTGCGTCCATTTTGAAAATATTTTACATCGATTCGGCCTTCGGAGTAACTCCTAAATACAAATTTTTAAAAACCTACCTATTTTACTTTCTCAGAATCGTTTAACTAAAGCTCCCAAAAAAACACCCTGTAGAGTGTTTCTGAAACACTATAATGGCGCCAAGATTTTTGTTTACGGCGCATTTTAGCGCATGATGAAAGGTACGATGTAGTAGAAAAAACATGTTAAAAAACGTAACTTTTGAAAACGTTAAGTTAGCCCCCCCCCCACTTTTTAAAAATTTTTTATGGCTTAACCGTAATGGCGCTAGCTTTAATTCAAGTGGCGCAATTGAGCGCATAACCAAATGTATCAGGTGACCTAGTTACAAGGGACAAAATACGTACTGGGGGGAGGGGGGCTACGTTCACTTGGCCCCCCCCCCCATGTTTTTTCGGATTTCTAAAAAACGATAATGGCGCAAGAGTTATTATCGGTGGCGCATATGAGCGCATAACGAGCGCATTCATTTCAAAATAATACGACTATGAAATCTCTCAGTGGGGGGGCCAAGTTAACGGACCCCCCGGTTCAGCATTCCTCCTAAAAACGTTCAGGACCCTCACCATTAACACCATAATTTTTGGAATGGGTCTCTATAGCTGGACGCTTTCAGGGAGAACGCAGCACCGAGGGGTCTGGGAGAGGGGTATAGAATCTCCTCCCGCAAAGGAAGATTTTTTCTGTTACTTTTAGCATTCTCGTATTAATTTTCGGGGAAGTAATGGAATCTCTGTAGCCTTGGGGGTATTGGAATACCCTCCAGGCCGCCGGTTCAACATTATCCCTGAGAACGTTCAGAGCCCTTACCGTTTACACCATAATTGCTGGAATGGGTCTCTCAAGGCTTTGAGGGAGAACGTAGCACCGGAGAGCCTGGGGGGAATGGAATACGAGCAACTGAAAATCGTTGTGTCTAGTACTTTTAGCATATTCGTAGTAATTTTGGGCGAATATAATCGAATATGCATATTCCGTACCCCCTGACTCCCCGGGCTCTTCATTCTTCCTCAAAACGTTCACCCTTTACCATTTATACCATAATTTCTGGAAAGGGTCTCTATAGCTGAACGCTCTGAGGGAGAATGTAGCACCGGGTGTGTCTGAGAGGTATTCCAACACCCCCCACCAAAGGAAGATCTTTCGTAGTCATTTATGGGGAATGTAATCGAATCTCTGTTTCCTCAGGGGTATTCCATATCCCCCAGACCACCCGGTTCTACATTCTTCCTCAAAACGTTCAGAACCGTTTATACCATAATTTTTGGAATGGGTTTCTATAACTGAACGTTTTGAGGGAGAACGTAGCACCAGAGAGAGTAGAAGGTATGGAGTAGGCACTCCTCAGTAAAGGAAGACTTTTTTTCATTGTTTCTAGAATCGATGTAGAAGTTTTCAGGGAATGTAGTAATCGAATCTCTGTACCATAGGTGGTATTCCATACACCCTGAACCGCCCGGTTCTACATTCTTCCTCAAAACCTCAAAATTTACACCATAATTTTTGAAAATAGTCGCCATTGCTGAACGGTTTGAGGGAGACGTAGCACCGGGTAGAATACCCCCAGCAGTTCTGACATCTTCGTAGTAATTTTGGAGGAATGTAATCGAATCTCTGTACTTTGAGGAGTATTATATACCCACCACGGTCCGACATTCTTCCTCAAAACGTTCAGATCCCTTATCATTTACACCATAAGATTTCAAATAGGTCTCTATAATAGCTGAACGCTTTGAGGGAGAATATAGTACCGGGGGTCTGGAGGGTATAGAATACCCATCCTCAAAACGTTCAGAACCCTTACCATTTATAACATAACTTTTTGAAAGGGTCTCGATGTCTGAACGCTTTAAGGGAGAACGTAGCACCGGGGGAAGATCTTTCTTTATTAGTTCATCTTCGTAGTAATTTTCGGAGAATGTAAACTTCCACCTCCCCGGGTTCTACGGTCTTCCTCAAAACGTCAAGAGCCCTTGCCATTTCCGCCATAATTATGGGAAAGAGTCCTTATAGCTTAACGTTTTGAGGGGCAACGGAGAATCCAGGAGTTTAGGGTTATAGAATAACATCCAGCACGGGAAGATCTTTCTCCATTACTTCTATGGAATCTGTATCCTTGAAGGTGGGTGGATTCTACGTGCTTTCCCAAACAGTTTAGTACATAGTAAAACTTCCACGGTAATTTTCGAAAAAACATGATCTGGTAAAGTATGAAATACTCTCCAGGAAAGGAAAATTCG